GTGTAGGAGTGATGACCGCTGGCAGGTTGACCTGGCACATTCATGCTACCAAGTGCTGGATGGAGCGTGATGGGCTAGATTAGAGAGAGGCATGAAAAAGACCGAAGAGTTTTGCAGGGACAGGTGTGGTCGGTCAGTAAGGAGTTTAGGTTTCATTAAAACAACAGTGCGAATCTTGTCTTTTTTTTTTTTTTTAAGAGAATGACAAGTGATGACCGCTGGCAGGTTGACCTGGCACATTCATGCTACCAAGTGCTGGATGGAGCGTGATGGGCTAGATTAGAGAGAGGCATGAAAAAGACCGAAGAGTTTTGCAGGGACAGGTGTGGTCGGTCAGTAAGGAGTTTAGGTTTCATTAAAACAACAGTGCGAATCTTGTCTTTTTTTTTTTTTTTAAGAGAATGACAAGATCTGATACTCATTTACTAATAAAAACTTTTGCTGGTGTGTGGCAAACAGAGGAGAGTGAGGGTAGAAGCTGGAAGACCAATTTGGAAACTTCTGCAGTATGTAGACAAGAGGTGATGGTGGGTGCAGGGGAGTTTGGGAGAAGCAGATGGATTGAAGGTATATTTTAAAGGTAGGATCTATGTGCTGGGGAATTGGATGTGGAGAGGGAGGGGAAGTGAGGACTTGATGCTGTAGGGAGGACGATGGTGCTGTTTCCTGAGCTGAGGGAAGGCTGAAGGAAGAGGTTTGTTGGGGGGACTCATTAGCATAGTAATGAATGACATTTAAACCCGTGGGTAAGATCATTTCAGGTGAGTACAGAGGGAGGAGCATAGGGTCCTGAAGTCAGACAGAGGAGAAAGAGCCAGTCAAGAAGACTGAAAGGTAGCAGCCAGTAAAAGAGTGGTGTTTGCAGGGGAGCAGTGTTGCAGAAGCCAAGCGTGGAAAATATTTCTGGAAGGGAGGGGTGGATACATGAGGAGCTCCTAAATGCTGCTGAGGGGTAAGAGACAGGGAAGTGCCCTCTACAGTTGACAATAACAGTTTCTGTCTCAGTGGAGTGGAAATAGATGCCAAATGCTACTAAGAAGAAGAAAGAGGAAATGAAAGGTGGGTCCGTCAGTGTAGGTTCTTCACATTCTCCCACACTGTTCCTTGCCATCACTGTCATTCTTTACGGTGCCTCAACTACTAGTACAGTGATATACACAGCCAAAGAGCAGCGACTTATTCACCTAAAATAATTGTGATAACTTGTGCGTATTTTAGGATCTGGATGATGTGTTGGAGAAAGCCAAGAAAGTAAGTCAATATCTATAATTGTCCTTTTTTGGGTTTTTTTTAGATATGCTATATTAATGCTTCAGTAAGAATAAGTTGCATTTATTAAGTGTTTACTGTGTGACAAGTACTGACCTAAGCCCTTTCTGTACATTATTTCGTTTAATGTTTCACAACCACCTTCTGAGGAAAGCTTCTATTTTTTAGGCAACTATTGCCCATTTTGTAGATGAGGAAACTAAGGCCTAGAGACTAACTTGTACAAAAACACACCGCTAGTAAAATGATACAGACAAGATAGTCTGAATCAAAACATGTTCCCCCAGCCATCCTACTTACCAGCAATATGGAACAGATTATGCATCTGTTGGTTCTAAAATTAACATTACCCTGGGGATTTTGGAGAAATGATAAAAGTTTTGGGAATCATTTTGATTTGTTTGAGAAAAATTATTAATTTTTGGAAGTGCTTATAAAATTCATTATCACTAGCATTTCATGGTCTTCCCTCAAAGTATTAGTTTAGAAGTAGCTGCCAGTGTATTTTTATATCTAACCCTCTTGCACTATGACATTAATTAGGAGTGTGGGCTTTGGAGTTACACAGGCCTAATGATCTTAGGCAAATTATTTCACTCCATCCAGAATTTCGTCTCCTGATCTATACAATGGATTGTAGCAATGCCACCTCATAAGGTTTTGTAGATTAAACGGAGGTAATATTTATGTTCACTGAACACAGTGCCTGAAACATAGTAAGTATTCAGTGATAGCCATTATGATTATACTGACCGAGTATGGATGTGCAAGAATAACTAAAACACAGAAAACTTTATAATTCTATTTAATTATATTGGATGTATATTGCTCGAGACTCTAGCTAGTCTATTCTGTTCTTTTTTGTTTCAGGCCAATGTTACGGCTCTTGTGGTGGTCGCTGAACATTCAGGAGAATTTGAAAAGATTATGCAGCTTTCAGAAAGGTGCGACTTCTCCCTAAGAACTTAAAGAGTTGCTAATAAGGATGCAGTTATGATGTCATGTTCATGATATCAAAGATTATCCATTTTTAAAGAGAATGAGAAGGAAAATATTAACATAGCCCTAAAAAATATCTCCTACTTATTCTTTAGAGTAACATTGTCTGCTAGTCTAATATTCGGCTTCTCAATTCATTCTACACTGTTAGGTATAACGGGTTTGTCCTGCCATGCTTGGGTGTTCATCCAGTTCAAGGACTTTCACCAGAAGAACAAAGAAGTGTCACATTAAAGGTAACAGTAACAGTCAGCTAAAACAAGAACCATAGAACATGATAATACCTTTGTCTCAGTAGTCCTTCACTTTCTCATTTATAGTGTAAGGCAATAATCCAAAAGAAGGCAATGCTACCTTCTTTCCCAGAGGTGTTTGTTGCAGAATTATCTGTAATAGAGAAAAAGGGGGAATAGCTTAAGGGTTCAGAAATAAAGGAATAATTAGTTCGCTTGTAGCGTAGTAAATATAATGCATTTATTAAAAGTGAAGACTATAGCCGAAACCGGTTTGGCTCAGTGGATAGAGCGTCGGCCTGCGGACTGAAGGGTCACAGGTTCGATTCCGGTCAAGGGCATGTGCCTGGGTTGCGGGCACATCCCCAGTGGGAGGTGTGCAGGAGGCGGCTGGTCGATGTTTCTCTCTCATCGATGTTTCTCTC